TTTTTGATTGAGCATTTCCCTAATCTATGAACTTTTCAATCAGTCATCAAAATGTAACCCATATTATTTATTCCAAGTATTTGTAATTGTATACTCTTGATAGCTTGGAAACAGACCAGCATCAAATCACCAGAGCAAATATAAGCAACGTGTTTAGTTAACCTGATGTTACATTGTTACACGTTTATATTTAAATTCAAGCGTATATGTGTTTAATATTTAATTTTAATATAATATACATGTCAGCAAAGCATTTAAGGAAATTACTGACATACAGACATTAAAATGCAGGAGGTATCCGGTTTCAGGTAAAACGTGAAATTTGAATATCAATGGAAAAAAGAAAAGTTAATAATTTCGCAAAACATTATCGATAGATATGCGTATATATGTATATAGATTTGCATTAAAAGTACACTCGTAATTTTCGTTCTATTAATGTCGTTTGCATCCAAATCATTATATCATCAATTTTATCAAAACAGAGCAACCTTGTTGGCCCTGTTGCTTTCAACCTTGGTTACTTTTCTACGCGCGAGCATCTAAACATGTATACGTTAATATTCCGTTTACTGTTCATCAATCCCAATTCACTTAAAGCAACGGTGTCTCATATCAACGATAGTTATCATTTATTATGATGACTGCTGAATTTGGCGATGATGTTAATATTCTATAATATCCATACATCTCTCGTTCGCCACTTGTATAATATTGTGCTGTCGTTTGTTTTGCCGTCACTCTAGCAACCCTTAAATTCAGTGTATACGTTACTCTTTCTCCTACTTATCTTCTGTCTCATTCGTTTGCTCTAAAAATGTCAATTCACCATAATTTTTACGCAAGCAACTCACATTCGCATGCATATGTTTCGAAAATTCGAGGGTCGCAAGGTGTTTCACACAACAACAATATTGTTACGTAAAATTCCCTTCATGTTTACGTGTTATCCCTAATATACGTTTTGAACCAGGTTCGCACGATTCGTTTATGGACAATGCATGACTTTTTTTCCAACCTTAGATGAGAATTATTTTGCAGAGTCAAAGTTACTTTTACGTTTGCGGAAACTAGAGGTTTAGCCCTTCAACAATATTTCACTTCGTTAAGCTTACACATAAAAACTCTTAGTCGACAACCGCCCTTGAAAACCATGACTAGACCCTGTTTCCCGCGCTCTACAATCTGTTAACAATGAGCTTATATATATATATATATATATATGTATATATAACTTTTAGTTGACATATTACACATCTCTGCACACATCCTATTGCGTTCATCACGTCGGCTTAGACATTGGATCCTCTTTTTCTGACCTTGGTATCATCTTTGATTGTAGGCGCTTTAATCTACACATTAAGCACGTACTCAAGAAGATGAAGAGCCTTCATGGGTTTGCAAACCATTGATCGCGAGAATTTATGGTCCCGTATATTAACAAGGCACTATTCATCAGCTTTATCAGAGCAATCTTAAAATATGTGGCACCCGTTTTATCAGTGTTCTATCAGACGGATAGTATCCGTCCAAAAACACTTCTCGCTAGTCGCCTTGCAAGCGCTTGGGTGGTATTGATTCGCTAGCACTTTAGGAGGAGCTTAACTTAAAGGCTCTCTGTATGGCCTTTAGGCATTAGACTCTAACTAAGCTTAACTTGTGTGGATATAATTACAAGCCAGCTGGTGTTCTAAATAATATATATCACTTATTCTCTCCTTGTCTGATTCATTCTCTAACATTCAGTCCGTATTGCAAGCTTATCTGTCTGTCTGTACCGATCGCATTTTTTGAAATGTTTTGATGAAATGCAGTACACTGACGCTATTGAAGATGATTTGATTTACTTATTCGACAACCCGCTCACGTAACGTTTTCAAAATTTCTCAACACAAGTCGCTAAGTAAGAGCATTTCGACATTCTAGATTGATGCGAGAAATGTGGATCGGCTGAGACCATTTTGAAATCCCCTCTCACGCAACCATTCCTAAGAAAGCTGATAATTTCATGGTAAAAATTGTTTCATAATAGTCAATTGAAAAAGAAATCGATCTTACCCAATTTGGACCGCATAGATCTATTTGTTTGATAACATCGCATAAAAGGATTCTCAGGAAAGCTTTTATATTCATGGTATTAATTTGACATAAAAATGAAGTGGACCAAGCTTGACCCACATGGGTCCATTTCTGGGATTCACTCTATACCAAATTTCTCATGAATAGTAAGTCCGTTAGAAAAGCTTTAATTTTTTATGATAAAATTTGATTCATTGTAGCAATTTAGGAAAACAATGAACGGTAGGGAATTTGATTCACATTTAGAACCTATCATATGTAGGGAGTATTATGAGGAGTCTTACATGAAGCGAAACTTTAGTTTCTAATTTTTTACGACCGAGACTGAAGAGTAATAAAACTTTCAGGAAGTAAATTAAGTTTGGTAAATTTTGATCGTGACGTCTCACACTTTCGACATCCTCCAATACACGAGCTCTCATGAACAGTATGCCTTTGCATGAAAATAATGTACAATTCTTGGCGTATTATTACCCAAACGAGTAACTAGCTGTACTCTGCGATATGGTGGTCTAATGGACGGTCTATCCTGGACTCTAATGTACTCTCACTGGTTTTTCGTTTATTTACTTTATCCAATTTTAGCTAAACGAATTTTATCAATCTACATGTTGATAGTATTTGTAGTTTAATATAACAGAAGGCACTGAAATACCAAATAATAATAACAATCAATATCTGTTATTGTAGTTTGTGCATAAGTTTGAATCAGCTGTTGAAACATAAATGAAATGAAATATTTGTTTTATTAGGTTTTCGAAATAGGTCACTATGATGCCTGCAGGTAAAGAGCATCGTAAGCTTGAAAATGATTGCGTCAATAAACGTTAATCCATTTTATCTTTTGCTATTTAAAATATTGTAACACGAATATCGTTGAATAGTTGTTCTTTTTATATTTGAAGTGAAAAAATTCAGCGGAAAATACATTTGAAAATCCATTTTAAGCCATGGCTACTATAGGCCAAGTAATCGAATGCAGTTATTGTTAAACATTAACTACTAAAGCAAATTAAAATATTATGATCGACCAAAGCCGTTAAGTTAAATACGTTAAACCATTGCGTCTAATAGAATTCTTTACGTATCTTCGGCATAAATTGCAAAAATTATACTTTGTTGCCATGAGGAAGGGAGAAGGTAAACTTATTTGCTTGCAGCAGTGCATAAATTAATTTTATTTTTTTTTTCATTCTTTGATACTTGAATTATTTTGCCTAATTTACTTTTTCATCCCTCTCTGTAAAAGTTCAGTTCAGTTTAGTTTTGTATTTTTTTTTTTTTTTTTTTTTTTTTCAATTTATATCACATAATGCGTTTTTATGGGAATAAGTTTTACAAAAATTATTGCTTTTTAATTCCAACCACGAAAGGATAAGATGCATATTCATTTTGTCAAAAGGTTTGCAACGCCCGCAAGGAAACTTTACAGACCCCACAAAGTATCTCTATATTCTTGATCACCATCAACTTCCGAATCGATTTAAGTCTGTACGGCTATCCATCAGTTCATCAGTCCGTCTGTCCGCCTGTGTAGTATTTGTGATAAGCATACTCCCGTTCACAAAGAGGAAGATATCGTCTGCAAACTTGCAAATGAATTTGAAAATGACGCAAACCGGTTAAAGGATATGCCAACAATGCCCATACGACGATGCAACAAAACTTGTCCACATCTTCTCTTTCGGGATTTTTTGCTTATTACTCGTAGAGTACAAAACATACTCCGTACACCAAATTTGCACTTTTATTCTGAAAATAGAAAAATTCAACCACGCCCACCGAATATTATAGAATATATTCTGCCTTAGTCGGTGATGAGTGTAAACGATTCGGTCACGACCGATTACAATTTTCTTACATGCTTTAATTATTAATTTGTTCATAGGATTCCCTACGTCATATGAACTCGTTATTCTGCACTGATACTAATCATACAATGCCAAAAATTTTACTTTGTCGGCATTTGAAGGCTTACTTTTTATAAGTTCATCTATATGGAAAGGTATTCAACAATTAATCCTGTCCCATCTATATCTTTTCTATATATTTTAATGGCTTCAATACCATTTTTTACCAAATTTGATTGCGAATTATTACTAATCCCAAGTTTTTTTCATATAACGTTTTTAATTTCGTCCACCGTTCAAATCTGTTAAGTTATAACCTATAGCTAAGATTCGTAGTTCGAACACAAGAGGGACAGGCGGACCTGTCGCAAGTTCCTCTCGCTATCCGCAAAAACTTACTATAAATTTATGACAAGCGATTTAGAGTAGAGCTAGCTAAGTAAGTAAGGTCAATATAGGCCTTGCAAATCATCTTTAATATCCATCATCTTACGCCGGAAGGTAATAAATTCATATTCGCTTCAGAGCGAACCCTTAATAACCTGCGCGATTTTAAATCCATGCTTTCGGTCTTGCAACATACTTTGTTAACTGTAAATGTGTGCGTTCTTCGATTAGGTCGTATAGATTGTGAATTGCAAATCTTTGTTCATTTTTTCCCTGAAGCGTGACATGATTCTTGTACACATTTGTATTGTATTTTAGACAAATACAAGGCATAAATTGGAAGTTCTAAATTTTGGAGGGCGTGTTCTTTTCTACAAGATCTGTGGCCATCATGAATATTCTAAGAACGTGTAGGTGAATGAAACTAAATAGATTTAGATTGCATTTAATCCTCTATCCCCCATTATTCTACGAATTTACAATGACCAGTAAAGGTGACATATGCCCACTTTTAATAAGTATTGTACATGTGTCAGCGAAGCGTTCGATCTCACAATTTTCCTACTTTTGGCTCGGATAAACTTTTGATACTGATAGAGCGATACACTTTTATTTGCTTGTAACGACAATAAGACATGTTCAATAATACACTTGTTACCATTAAAATAATAATAAAAATACATTATTATTTATCGTTAATTAAAACACGTGACATAAGTTCTTAATAAAGTAGGTAATCGTTGTTAAGGCATACAAAGGGTTTTTAAAACATCTTTTTCAAGGTCAGTCAAATAATTTGCAAAACTACCGTAATATTCACTAACGGACAATCTTTTTAACAGATTCATTATATACTCTTCCATGTTGTTTTGTAACAGCGGATCCATAAGAAGCTCTTGTGTAAGCTGAGCGTCGCTTGACGTATTGTATCCATTGCAATCCAAACTTTGCTTGTCATTCGAATTTTTCGTGTAAGAGTTGTCATTTAAACTATCTCTGCTACTGTTCGTAGAAGCGTCACTATCTTTATCGCACTCTAAATCCATACGGCTCTCTGTTAAGTAACACAATTCTCTTATGAGCAGTTTAAATATCTTTGCTAAAATGGGTATGAAAACGCAGTGAATGTCATTCCAATATAAATAGTTAGCCATGTGAGTTGTCATAGGGCATTTTCTGTCAATATCGTGATCTGCAATCTTTACGGAAAGAAGTCGAAAATCATTTTCTCTGATGCCATATTCGAGAATTTTACACAAAGTCATTGTGTTCAGTTTACGTTCATAGGCTCCGTCGATAGACTTTTGCACACTAATCCACGTACCAAGCACAAACATCAAAGACGGTCCACTAGCGGCAGTTGATAGAGAGCCTAAGAAGTTAAATGAATCTCGCGTTTGCGTGAGGAATAGGTAAACAAACACTATCACTATGTCTGCCGATATCTTTGAATCTCGGAGAAGCTCCATCTCCTGAACAAGTACTTTCAATAACGTACAAATATAATTATCCATCATTTGCCCTATATTTTTCATTATCGCAATAGTCGTTGGGCCAAATTTAATGGTCGTCTGTTTACTGATGCGCAAGCCTAATATCATAATTATAAATTGTATGATGGATTTAAGACCTTCATCGTTATTGTAGGCGCATACTTGTTTTGGGCAGATCGAAAGATACGCCCTCAAGCATTTTTCACCTGCGACGATAGTGTCATTATCTCTAGAGTGCAAAATGCAATCAATCATTGCTGGGAAAGCCTTTGCCAACAAATCCCCTGTTAATAGGCCATCTGAGTTTTGGGCAATGGTAGTTAGAACGTCTACTGCACAATTCTTTTTAATTATATTGCTGGGACTATCGTCTTTTAACGATAACATAGTAACAAGGCAAGGTACGAATTTTTTTCGCATCAGTCGCAGGCAAGGCTTGTTTAAACATATCGCTCTGATTAGGTCTCGAGTGGAGTCCAAAATAAAGGGATTCTCTGCATATTTTGCGAAGACGTCTAAGGCTACAGAAACGATTTTATTTTTAGCAGCAACAGCAACTGAAGGATTCGCCTAAATTGATGCGAAAGAAACAAGCAGCAATGGTTCTTTATGTTCTTTTTTTTTAAAATCGTTTGCATCTACCTGCATTATGCCGATTAAACAATCCAACAAGAGGCATATTGCCAGGCTTGCGCAATCTGATATCAAAGCTATAATACCGTCCATAATACGAGAAAATTTAGATTGAACTAACTCACGCTTCTCATCATTTAAAATGTCATGGGCTTCAATAATGCTATAAATAGTTCTAAAAGTAAAGAAAAAAATATCGTAATCAATTCCTTGCGCTCGGGCAATGCACTGGTTCATTTACCGGACTGCATTAATTTTGAAAACAAAATTATGCTTAGTTTCAAGAGTTTCTTGAACTTTTGTTAAAATTTCGTTTAATATTTCGTTATTGATGTACTTTGAACAGGCCCACGTGCCCAGCGTCCATAGTGCTCGGCCCGCCATATAAGGGTAATCGCGATCGTTTAAATAAGAACGTATCCTCGTCAAATAATTCAATAAATCAAATTGTTCTTCATAATTGAATAGCAAATCGTGTAAAGTGTGAAGAGCAACGAAGCATGCCTCTAGGATTTTCCACCAATTCGCATTGCCGGTATGGTTTTCAGATTCTGCCATCATCATAAGACGATTGATGGCTTCTTGAAATGGCGGCAACAATTCGGCGCTCAGACTTTCCGTTAATGCCTTGGGAAAGCAATGTAAAACCTCTGTATTCTTTCTGCACAAGTAGCACTTAACACTTACCAAAAGTATGTCTTGGCCCACCACACGTATGGTTACGTCAACACCTTCTTCATCTTCAATATATTTTTCCGGATCAATTGACCAATGCTCAAGATGCCGTTCAGGTAGTTGTAAATAAAGAATAGTTGGACGTACCAAATAGTTTAAAGTCATTTTAACGAAAGGGCGGAACATTCCACAACTGATAGTACGTTGAATGAACTGAAGAAACTGTAGAATCAATTGTAAGAAATTATTCTCGCCGGTAGCTAAATTTGGTTCAGCTTCGTTGACAACAACTTTGGTGTACATCTCCACAAAGCTAGTGAACAATTGGCACATTGCTGGCAAAAGACGGTCCATATAATTTTCTAAATATTTGGTCATGTCGGTAACCAAAAACGTAAGTACTACTTGCAACGAGAAAATGTCCTCTTTTAAATTAATGTCTAATAAGACTTGTCGAGGGCTTGCTTACATTTCACAATCTCGATAGGTAACAAAAAACAGGAGTTTGGCTTATGGTTCAATGATAAGTAATATATCATTTTGTCTAAGTAAGTGTCCAATGCGAGATAGACCATGTTTGCCCTTTCCGTTTGCTCCAAGGTACTGCCTGCTAAGAACAGCGACTTTAGAACGATGACGGCTAAGCTGCGTGCTTCAATACTGTACGTTTCTTCCAAGTCAAATATGCGATACGCATTCGAAATTATCAATGCATTGAGCGCTTTGATTTGTATTCGATCGTAGTGGAAGTTGATCAAGACTTGCATAATTCCATGTATTGAATTGCCATCACCGTGCAAACACTCAACAATTACAGCGGAGAGATCAGCCCAATCACTGGGATAGTCGGTATCAGCGATTGTGCATATAGTATTAGCCACGGAGCATCGTATTATGGAATTAGTATCGTGTAGGCCAATCGGCAATGTCTCACGTATGGTACATTTGACTGGTATTGTGATAACCGATCCTCCTCCACTCGCTGCGGAAGGATCGTCTGGAATATTGCGTTCGTCCCAGTAGCGTTCCGCATAACGCGTTAACATTATACCGGCCATCTGACGCAGAGGCAATTCAACAAACTGATTAAGGGTTGTTTCCGTTAAAATGATGCCATAACCTAGGAACCGATAAATAGGTCAATTCATTAATCATATTTCACTTTCCCTATGATTCAATTTTACTCTCAATGTATTCCAATTGTCTCATATTCTCTTCAGCCCTATTTCTTGTATCCGTATCTGGACTTAACAGGTTATCTAATTCCTCCATTATTGTCAGTCTGAGGAGGCCATCATCTAGGACACTCATGCACATGATTTTTCGTTTTCTTAAATTTCCTCTTAATACATTAATTACCCCTTAACAACTGGTTCTTACAATTCAAATGTCGTAAGAAAGTTATATAAAATGACGCTTTTCAAATTAAACTGGACATTTGCTTATTTTTCTCCCATTTGATTACGCTTCTTCTTGAAAAATAAAAAGGTGAGAGAATTAAGTGGAAGATATGATAACCGTTAAGTGTCCGAAATTTAGCTGAGGAATATTTATGTATAATCGATGTAACAAATAGTCTCATTGAGTTGACCAAAGAGAAAGGAGGAAAGAATGCAAGAAAGATAAAGGTAGAGGGAGCGAAAGAGAAATGGAAAGACAGACACAGAGAGAGAGAGAGAGAGAGAGACGGAGAAAGAGAATTCGCTCCAACAAATATTCGCACTAGTGACTGCGGAGAGAAAACGAAAATGATTACTGGCACCTTAGCATGCATTTCTCAAAGATCCCTTACATAAATATTAGTACTTAACACTAGAACTACCGAGTCCGTCATCTTGATACATTTTAATTCCTTTTATTTATATGAAAAGGCCTTTGATCGCCTATAATCACTTTTTTCCTAGCTGGTCTAGTTTTCGAGATGCTGGCGACACATAAATGCCTATTTCTTGCTTGAGTAAGCGAGACACAATTTAAGAATTGAGTGCAATTCGTTTTTGTGCTGGTTTGCGGTATAGAAGGAATTGGAGCAACCTAGGAAAAACGCCGACATCACTACACATTACTATATATTTCGATTTCGTGAAGACATTCCCACTTGTGACCCAAAAGTTCGTCAAGATCTCGCAATCCCAATCGATTCATTAATACGGTGACAATTGCCAATAAAATTTTATCTCAATTTATTTCCCATTTACTCTAACACACCTTAGTATTTTTTGCAACCAGTGGAAAATAAATTAGAAGCGGCATACGCTCCATGCCACTTGCGGATCAAATATGGAAATGAATTTGATGAACACTCAGATAGCAGATCTTCACAATATCGAAAGTTATTTTCGAGATTGTTTTCGTTTCCTCATTTGTGATGCACGTGTACGTGGGCGGATCACAATTATTATTTTTAACATTGCATTCTTAAGCGAAATGATGTAACTCCACTTTTTTACAAACGTTTCATGGCAAGCGTGAACAAATTGTTTTATTAGTCAGACTCTGATCGTGCCTATGGGTTCAATTCGAGAAGATATAGTAAATTGTATAGCTACGAATCTATATTTCAGTTGGCACCCTACTTAACTTTACTTTTCATTTTAACTATTTCGCACTATATATAAACGAAACCTAACTTGTTCTTGTTTAAGCAGAATCTATGAGAACCGAGATGATTAACGACTGGAAAGATATCTACATAACTAAAGAAGAAACGAATCCCATGATCATTTTGTGCCAGAAAGGTCTAAAGAAGAACAAGGTCTAATTTCTATTTCTGTATATCTTTTTATATAATGTACAGCCGTTATGGCAATTATGTGTGTTTGCATTTTTCTATTGATCTTCTTATTGTTCGTTTATGTCTATATGGCAAAAAAATTATAATATATATATATATATATACATTATATATATATATATATATATAAACATTAATACAATTAAATATAATTCGAGCCAATCTCTTCTCTTTCATGTTACTTTCATGTTATCTTACTTAGTATTGAAGCGTTCTCTTTATTAACGGTTTACTTGGTTTTCTGGTTAAGTTGAAGATATTCGCTGATTTTTTTCATGAACTTTAGATCTTGTTTTGCACGGTTTCAATCTAAACAATTTGCTGTGTATATACATTTCAAAATATATATACATATGTATATGTATTTATATGCTTATGTTTATATAAATGCACGTAATGCAGTAGCCTAACGGAAACTATTACATTAATTCGGTAAAGGAAGCCTACTTAAAACCAAATTGAGCTACACACACATTTATATACGAGACTGGTAAGGCGAATAAACAAACAAACAAACAAATATACACATACTCACACATACACATACATGTACATATATATATATATATATATATATATATACACATATATATATACAGAGTATATATATATATGTACAGAGTATATACAGAGTAAAATAATAACTACAATAACAATACAATATTAGTAGTTAAGTTAAGTTCAAACGGGTTTCGCTTTATATCGCTAGACAAGTAACCGCTTACATAAACATACCTACATAAATAGATGCATACATGCATACGTGCACACAGGCAGGCTTCCATTTGCATCGTTTATTTTGGGGCTGGCAAAAAGACATTGCAAATCAAAACAAACCCATTTCAAAATAGTTTTTTTGTATTTGCATTTGCAAAAAAAAAATTAAATTTGATTTTCACAACTTTTCTTTTTGCTTTCTTTTCAAATAAATTTTTATTGATTTAACTTTTTTGTTTTTTTTTTTTGTTTTTTTTTTTTTTGTTTTGCATATATAGAGCCATCCATTTTATGGTTGCGAAAGTAAACGTGAAGGAAACACACTTTTGTTTAAGATTTGGACTACATTTTGCTTTCCAAAGCATTGCTTGGATCTTGCCACTCTTTGTGGAATCTTACATATACATGTTTTCTTTAAAGGATTGTGTGTCTGAAATTTGGACAGATTTTATTTTTTTTTTAACTTGGAAATGACATAAGGGACAAGACGAAGATCTAGGTCCGAGAGTATTGCATTGTGTTAAGCTTAAATTGATGATTAGCTCGATGCGAACACAAACTAAAAACACCGAAATATATTTTGATATATATCGGGTAAGACCAGTTACGCTTTATCAGGATATTCTATTTTTTTCAGAGCGACTTTCGCGTATGCAGTAGTAATCAGGACTAGATGCAATTCCAAAATTTTTGCGTCAATTCTGCGTCAAGGCTTCTTTTATAATTTTTAATTTGTTGAAAAATAATTATAAGCTCGTAAATCACTTACAATCTCTCAAAATTCTTTATCGATCAAGGCAATTCCCCACGCACAAATATTAAAAAAAAAAAAAGAAGAAAAACTCGACCGTCTATGATCCTATTAAAGTTCATTTTCAATTAAGGATTCCGTAAGCAATTTATATCGCTTTAACCACGGGTACTATATACATACTTGGAAATTCTATTCATGATATACGCACTGAAGGTGAAACTAAGATGAGCTCCGGAAACTTGTTCATCTAATAAATCGATGCAGAATCTCGTAGTCATCAAATCCATATATTAATGTATGTATGTTACGGACGAAGATCTTGCGGACGAATTTAAAATAAATTATTGCATGTCCCCATTACATACTCATACATACAAAATATAAAAAAGTAAAAAAAAAATTAAAAAAAAAAAAAACTAGTTCTTTGTTGTTTCCTTTAGATGTTTTCATACCCACAATGACTAACATGAGTGATATTCTAATTTCGTCATTTCATTTATATCGCTTAGCAATAGCTATCAAAAAATTTTCAAACACTTACACCTAATTACCTTTTAATGCAGTAGATACGTTCGTGAAATAAGTCTAAAGAATAACAAATATATATATAAATGAACAAAAACAAAGGCAGAGCAAAAAAACCTAGAACCCATAAAGACCGTATCAGTTTTTTTCCAAGCCTTCTCTTCCTTTTCGTTTTCAAATCTAGACCTCATTTATGCGTAGAGTACTGCTTGGCACGGTGTTCAGGAAGGATTACAAGAAGTGAAAGGAGAAGATTGGAAAAAGCACACATAAGTGAGAAATGAAAAGGATGACGAAAAACAAGTTAGACATATCTATGCATATGGGATCCTCTGAGATCTTCTTCATAAGAAAATAAGGAATGGGTTCTAGCAAGAGCACTGACTGCTGCATATGTATGTATATTTAGAAAAGATGAATTTTCAAAACTTACTAAACTTAATGAGACCGCGTCAAAAGGTAATTGAATTGATTTTTCCGGGTTAGATGTATAAAGGCATTGAAAATTTTTGTGCATTCTCAGTGATCCTCATAGAAGCAAACGGATCTAAGCGACTTATAGAGAAGTTTACAACAAAAGCAGAAACTACCGAAAATAAAAATGGATAAAGAATTTACAAACGACAATAATTATCGAGCAAAACCTACACCACGCTCGAATGTTCACGAGGAATATGGGGAAACTTAGAATAGTTTTGTGGATTTTCCTAAGTGAGAGAAAGCAAATTTGTGCGTCTAAGTTTGCGAAAATTTTTTATTCGAAAAAGGTATAAATGGCAAAGAAGGGTACAAAGTGTTAGGTATAACTAGATTGTAGCTTATTCAGAATTCGGCTTGGATTAAATATGGGTTTTTTTTCTGCTCTTAGCGTTTTTTTTTTTCTTTTTTGTGTTGTTATTTTCGTTTTCTTTGCTTTTCCTTAAGAGATGACCTACACTTTGCCTGGGCACGTTTATGTTTAAACGTGATCGAGCACGAGAAAGATAAAGAAATATAGGTAAAAAGGCACAGCAAAAGAAGTAAATATAGATAAAAAACAAGAAAAAACAAAAAAAAAAAAATATTGAATATTATATGTACATACATATATACATATATACATATATATATATATATATATATATATAGATGTTTATGTATCACATCACAATGCATACATACATAAGTTTCAGCATATCATCTATGTTTAAAAGAGAACATCGGAATGAATATTAATATTGAGAAGCTGTGAAACGAGAAACGAGTTTTGCTTTGTTGTCTTCCTTTCATTTAGTTTCAAGTGACTGCAACTGTATGACAAGATGGCTCAAAATTTATTTCAAAACTTGAATTAGGAGGTTATAACGAACTTTTTGTATTTCTGTTAACAATAGCAGTCGCAATGCTGTTAATTTAGCAGCCGTTCGACAGCTTGCTCTTTCATTCTCATTATTTGTGGACAAAGACTCTATTAACAGGTTCTTGATGTGATGTTACGTTCTCTCAAATTTATGCAAAACAGAAGCGTACACAATTCTGAGTTTTTAAGTGAATATGCGCTATAGCATAGAGATAAGTGTGTTGGCTAAAAGCTTTCAAAAATTTCAACGAAACTTTTCATAGCAACAAATATGAAGAAATATTGTTTTTTATTAATAAAAAGAGTTCTGTTGTAAGTATAAATTATGTTTTTATTTGCTTGCACGCATGT